AAATCCCAGACATAAAATGTATGCTCAATACATATTATATTAGAATAATAGAGTTATATGGATTTTAAAATAAACCTTAATTTACATGAGTCTGAAATGTTAGTGATTTGTGAATTACTACCAATAAGCTATTGTTTTAGCAACATACAAATTAGAATCATATATTTTCTTTTCTTCACCCATGTTGCAATGCAATGTGATGATTTCAGCTTTCCTCAACATTGATGGCTATTTGAAGAATCTTAAGTTTATTAAAATAGAAGTTGTCATTTGCACTTTATCATGTTTCTTTGTGGAAATTTCAGATGTATAGCCCTAGAGATGTCAACAGCAGCTGAATTGTTAACCAGATCCAAAAGATATCTCTAAACAACTCTCTTTTGGCCTCATTATGCTACATTCCACATAGATATACTGCAACCTAATATACCACCTGATATTTTTTATGATGAAACACTTTATACTAGGAAAAAAAAGAAAGAATTATGCACTGGAAATTTGTTATCTGATATAAATGACAGGGTGAGGGGGTTTTTACGTAAAGTAAATAATTGGCAGATTCCACAGATAAAAACTGCCAAAATATCAATGTTCACTCCATATTGTGCAATTTGAGTTAGAAGTAACTCAGAACATCACACAGGGATAAGATTTACATCTAACAGTATGAAACTGTGTCATTAAAGCACAGCAATCATCTCTTTCCAGGTGGATTTATTATATTATATATATTATATGTATATTATATGAATATGAATCTATCCTGATTTACACTGTGTTGACACAAACAGTCCCCAATAGAATAAGAATTGTGCTATTTTTCTGCCTTCAATGGTTTCTCTTTCACATTTTCCATTCCATTTGCTTCTAAATGGATACATGGAAAGTATAAAGATGATGATATTATTATAAGTTTCTCTAAATGATTTTTCAAAGAGACCAATTGATTTGTTATACTGAGTGTGTTGGCCTGGACTGCTATAACAAAATACTGTAGACTGGGTGGCTTAAACAATAGACATTTATTTCTCATAGTTCTAGAGGCTGGGAAGTTAAATCCAGAGTGAGAGCTCTCTTCCCAATGTGCAGACAGTTGCCTTCTTCCTGTATCCTCACATGACGGGAAGAAAAAGAAAAACAGAGAGAGAGAGAGAGGAAGAGGAAGAGAGCACACATGCATAGAAGCTCTCCGATCTCTTTTCATAGGGGCACTAATCTCATTAAGGACACTACCTTCATGACCTCATCTAACCCTAATTACCTCCCCAAAACCTCACCTCCTAATACTATTACTTGGATCTTCAATTTATGAATTTTTGGGAGGACACAAAAATTCAGTCCATAACACTAAGGTTGCAGTAATACATTTATGTTATTGCTTTGTCCAAATTGCTAACAGGCATTTAGATGAAATATTTCATGTTTCAATAAATATATTCAAATAAACATATATTCATTAGGCTATATAATTCCAACTTGGCAACAGTCAAAAAAAAGATAGGAATATCATCTTTGAAATTATCAGTTTGCTAATTGAAACCACTGCTAAGAAAGTCTTACCTTTCGAGATAACTTTCCTAGAGCTTCTCTATTTTTCTGAAGATGAAGTTGAATAACAGATTTATCTTTCTGAAACATTTTGTGGCTCCCCAAACAGTGGTCACTGAAGGAGAAAACATGAACACAATTATATCCTCCCATAATACTCTCAAACTGTGCATTTTCCTCTTTGACTTCATTTTCTTTTATTTTTGGAATTTATTTGAGTACAAGTAAACTGTCTCTCTCTCTCTCTCTCTATACACACACACACACACACACACACACACACACAGGTGTCTATGTAAATGAATAAGTTGAGGGGAAAATATATATCTATATACATGACAAAATATTGCAATTATTTTTCAATGCATTAAGTTAGAAAATAGATACATTTAGAATGGTCATAATAAACTATAATATAGAATACTTTACATATTCAAAGTTAGTTTTAACCAGCCATGTGAAAGCTCACAGCTGAAGATAATATGCTTCCTGGTGGCCTAATTGATGTCACAATGTCTATGTGTGGATCACTGTGTTGAGGAAGCAGAAGGATGTGATGGAAATGTCACAGGCTTTGGAGACAGATTTACTACCTCTATGACCTTAGGCAGGCCAATTAAAACTATCTGAAATTAGATATTTTCCTCTTTAGAATAGGGATATTAATTCTATATCAAAGAATTGACAAGTAGATTAAACAGAAAAAAATTCTCCGTATTTCAGAAATTTCTAATAGCATTATTATACTTTCTTTCTCTTTCTTCCTCTCTCTTTCTCTCTTTTTTTCGCCCTGTGAACACTGGCCAAGCACAAATTAAATGATGAGCACAACAATTTACTACTTTGCCACATATTGTTTTAAATACAATCTGATTCTTCTGTGAAATGACGGGCTTGCATTATATGGACTTCTTTAAAGCTGTATTGGCTCAGCTGTATCTGGTGACTCAGTCATTAAAAAAAGGATGAGTTATGTTAATGCACTTTGTTTAAAGGATCTCAGTTAAATATATGGAGGATTTCAGGAGAAAACAAATCTCATATTAGAAATTCGGGGTCCTTGTGGTGATAATTTCATTTATATAGAAAATTCATGAAACATTTGGGAGTACCTATTCCCCAAAATGCCAGACAAATAGAGCAATACTCTGTTAAAATTTACTAAGTTCTCTGTACATGTTTTTATTTTAACAAATGTTATTTTTTATTTTTTTTAAATTCAGTATATTATGGGGGTACAGATGTTTAGGTTACGTATGTTGCCCTTGCCCCCCCACCCCCCTAAGTCTGAGTTTCAAATATGTCCATCCTTCGCGTGGTGCGCATTGCACTCTTCAAGTGTTACTTTTTAATACTTAAGAAAACTCAGTACCGATCTGCTCACCAGAATGGTGAATGTTAGTATTCATAACATGTATTCTATACTCATTCCTATCCCAATTGTTGGCCTAACTAGATTCTTGTCCCAGGGCTATCCATAGGGCTCTTATATTATCCCCTGAGTTGTTTTACCTGCCAGTCTAGATAGATGTAAGGCATGGCCAGTGCATTTCTTGACTATTTCTTTGAACTATTGATTTCTCCTTATTCCTTCTCAAAATTCTGCTCCAGTGGTCTATCCTTAGAATCCATCACATGTACTGAAGTTCCTCTCCTTTCACCTCCCTTTACACCAGCTCCTCTTCCCTTCCTTAGAGTTTTATTTTCCTGTTCCTGCTCTCAGGCCCAATTTAAGAATAATGACCCACCTTGCTCTCAGAGATTCCTTTCCTCCTTGTATTGAAGGCTGAACCTATTTCAAAGAATTCAGCCTCATATATAACTACTGCCTTTTTTCTTGAACTGACTTTATCTTACCCACCTGTGTGTACTCCCCTTACTAGAATTGTCAGATAAAGTATAAGATGTCCAATATGTATGAATTACAGAGAAACAATGAACAAATGCTTAGTGTAAGCATGTTCCATGTAATATTTGATACATACTTACACTAGAAAGTTTA